GTGATGCTGTGGGTCCCCGCCACCCATGGGTGCTGCTGTGGGTCCCTGGCACCCATGGGTGATGCTGTGGGTCCACGGCACCCATGGGTGATGCTGTGGGTCCCCGGCACCCATGGGTGCTGCTGTGGGTCCCCGGCACCCATGGGTGATGCTGTGGGTCCCTGGCACCCATGGGTGATGCTGTGGGTGCCTGGCACCCATGGGTGATGCTGTGGATCCCCGGCACCCATGGGTGATGCTGTGGGTCCCCGGCACCCATAGGTGATGCTGTGGGTCCCTGCACCCATGGGTGATGCTGTGGGTCCCCGGACCATAGGTGATGCTGTGGGTGCCCGACCATGGGTGATGCTGTGGGTCCCCATGGGATGCTGTGGGCACCTGGTGATGCTGTGGCCCGGCACCCATGGGTGCTGCTGTGGGTCCCCGGCACCCATGGGTGATGCTGTGGGTGCCCGGCACCCATGGGTGATGCTGTGGGTTCCCACCACCCATGGGTGCTGCTGTGGGTGCCCGGCACCCATGGGTGCTGCTGTGGGTCCCCGGCACCCATGGGTGCTGCTGTGGGTCCCCGGCACCCATGGGTGCTGCTGTGGGTCCCCGGCACCCATGGGTGCTGCTGTGGGTCCCCGGCACCCATGGGTGATGCTATGGGTACCATGGGCTCCATCCTATCCCCGCAGGCAGGCGGGCAGGGAGGGCAGCGCCGCCGTCTGTGCCTACAGCCATGAGGCACTGGAGGAGGTCTTCGAGGGCAAGTACAAGGAGCTCAACAAGGAGAGCTCCCGTTGGACCGTCTATGGTGGCCCCGACGTGAGCCCCAGGCCCGGCAGCGTGAGTGGGGCAAGGCCCCATCCCTGGGGATGCTGCTGCTCCCTATGGGAAGGGATTGGAGGGAATGAGAGAATGGAAGCTCCCATTGCTCTCAATGATGCTCTGCCTCCTCTCTGCCCACCCCACAGTGCTCCATGGGTCCCTCCTCTGACAAAGCCCTCACCTTCATGAAGGACCATTTCCTGATGGATGGGGCAGTGGTACCCACCCGGGGCCGGCCGCTGCTGGTGAGGACGGACGTCACCTACACCCGCATCGTGGTGGATGAGACCCGCGGCGCCTCGGGGACCAGTTACCGCATCCTGTTCCTGGCCACTGGTAGGGTGATGGGGGGGACCCCACAATGATCCCCTTTGTACCCCCAAACCCCCTGTTCATCAGTGATGCCCTTTGTGCCCCACAGCGGATGGGTTCCTGCACAAAGCCGTGGAGCTGCCTGGAACGCCGCACATCGTGGAGAGCATCCAGCTCTTCGGAACACCAGAGCCGGTGAAGAACCTCCTGTTGGCACCGGGGAAGGTACAGAGGGGATGGGGATGGAGCAAGAACCAGCCCCGAAGCTGCGATGGGCTCAATCCTGCTCCTCTCCTTCCATAGGGCATCCTCTATGTGGGTTACTCCGCTGGGGTCCTCCAAGTGCCGGTGGCCAACTGCAGCCTGCACCGGAGCTGTGCCGAGTGCGTGCTGGCGCGGGACCCCTACTGCGGGTGGAACAGTGGCCAGGGCTCCTGCCAACCCATCCGCAGCGCCCAGGACACGTGAGCTGGGATAACGGGGGGGAAAGGGGATGTGGAGCGGGAGCAGGGGGCATGGAAAGGGATCCTGCCCCTCTGTGGGGTATCCGGCATCCATCATCCATCATCCTGCATCCTGCATCCTGCATCCTGCATCCAGCTCTGGAGCAACAGCACAAGAGGGACCACGGAGATGCTCCGAGGGCTGGAGCATCCCTGCTCTGGAGCCAGGCTGAGAGAGCTGGGCTGGGGCAGCCTGGAGAGGAGAAGGCTCCTGAAGGGGAGACCTCAGAGCAGCTCCAGTGCCTAAAGGGGCTGCAGGAAGCCTGGAGAGGGGCTTGGGATGCAGGGATGCAGGGACAGGACAAGGGGAATGGGTTTGACCTGACAGAGTGGGGATGGAGATGGGGTCTTAGGCAGAAGCTCTTCCCTGTGAGGGTTTTGGGACACTGGGATGGGTTGGATGGAGAAGGTTTGGATGCCCCATCCCTGGCAGTGCTCAAGGCCAGGGCTTGGAGCACCCATCTCCAGTGGAAGATGCCCCTGCCCATGGACCTGGATGAGCCTTAAGCCCCCTTCATCCCTCCCCATCCCACGCTCCTGCTGTTCCCAGGCACTGACTCCCCTCTCCCACCACAGGAGCCATTGGCTGCAGGACATCGAAGCCGGGAACCCGGCCCCTTTGTGCCACCGCGGCCAAAGCGTGCCCATGCCCCGCCTATGGGGAGCACCGGAGACCCCCTCTGCAGAGAGTTGAGTGCGGGCACCCTGCGGGATGAGGCTGGGGGGGGGAATGGATGGGGGGGATGCGGCCCCCATCACCCCATTGTCCCCCCTTTGGCATCCCCACAGGGCTCACCCCTCCTCTCAACGCCGTGGTCCGCTTGCCCTGCCCGCATACCTCGGCTCTGGCCACGTACCACTGGGAGCATCCCGACGGTGCCCGCGGGGCTACGGCGCTGCTGCCCGGCCACACGCTCGTTGTCATCACGCAAAGGGGCACAGCGGGCACGTACAAGTGCCAGGCCAGCGAGAACGGGTACACATGGACCGTGGCTCATTACGAACTGCGGGATCCCAGTGGGGATGCTCCGCTCCGGGATGGGCTGGTTGAAAGCGGGTTACCCCGGGGCTCCGAACCTCCTCCTCCTCCTCCTCGTTTGTATTGGCCCGAGTTCGTCACCGTCACCGTGCTGCTGGTGGTGACCCTGGCCGCGGCCGCTTGCTTGGCTCTCGTTGCCTATCACGATCAGCTCAAAGCCAAAAGCAAGGTGCGAGGGTGCAGCGCGCCCCAAACCCCTCCAAGGCAGCGAGGGGAGAAGGTGCCCCTCAATGGGGGCACCGCGGAGCGCCCCGCACCCGGAGGTACCACGGAGGAGGAGGAGGAGGAGGAGGAGGAGGAGGAAGGCTCCCACCCGTGCTGCGTGCAGCTCGATGGGGACATCGATGCTGGTAACGGCAGGCTCCGTGTTCCCGGCGTGACGGTGCCATCGCAATGAGGGGGTTTTGGGGTGAATGGGAAGGGTTTGGGGTTAATTTAACACACCCGAGGGGGTGCTTCGGGGTGGGATGCGGGGGGGGGGGGATGGTGCCGTCAGTGCCCCCCCCCCACCATGCGCAACCCTGGGTGCTGAGCAATGGGGTGGGATGGGGGGGGTACCCCATGGCTCTGCCCCATAGCCATGGTGGGGATGGAGCCCCCCCCATCGAGCCGCTGTTTTCGATGCTGTAAATTTCCCTTTTCTTTGTATATTTGATGTTTTGTATTAAATACAAAAAGGAACGAAAAGAAGCGCCCCCCCCTCCCCGGCTTGGTGCAACACTATGGGGTGGGGGGTGCGTGTGCAAGGGGCTCCTTTAACGTTGGTTATAGAGCTGGAATTCGGCGCTGGCCCTTTAAGAAGAGGAAGAGGGAGGGAGGCGTGCGCCCTGATTTACGCATGCGTATTCCATCCCCTCCCCTGGGCGCCGCCATCTTTACGAAGGGCGGAAGTACCCTGTCCGCCGCTCTCTTCCGGCGCTGCTTCAGCCCGTTTCCAAGATGGCTCCACCTCCCGGGCTCTGATTGGTCGAGCGTGCTCCGCGCCGGCGCACTTCATTTCCGGCCGGTGTCCGCCGGGTCGCCATGGGGCGGGGGGAGCGGCGGGACCGGGCGGCGGAGAGGCCGCGGGGTGAGGAGGGGAGCGGGGAGAAACCGGTGGGTGGGGGGTGGTACCGGATGGACCCCGGTGACGGGGGGGGGGGGGGGCACACACGGGCCGTGGAACCGGGGCGCTGCGGCCTTGAGCGGGCCCGGGGCCTGAGGCCTCCCGGTTGGGAGCGTGAGGCTGCTCCGCTCCGCTTCCATAGGGATGGAGGCCTTGAGCCGCGGCCATCCCGGGCTGAGGGCGACGGGAAGGGAGCTTCTGCCCTTTGCGGGCTTCCAACGGGAGCCGTTTGGAAGGGATTGGGGCTGCCCCCATTGAGAGCGTCTCCATAGGCAACAGGGCAGGAATGGGGGCTTGGAAAGGCGTTGGGATGCTTTCCAGCGGCATTGGGATGCAGGGCAGGATCGCTCCTTGGCACAAAGAGCCTGTTTGTGCGGCCCAAAGCGTCGGGTTTAGGTACAGCGAAAGCAAAACCCGTTTGGATGGGGAAAAGGGGGGTAAATGGGGGCTGAGGTTGAAGCCGGGTCCTGCAGAGCAGTGGGAACGCAGCAGTGATTCCTTTTATGTGTTTCACCCCCAAGTACTTGAAGGTACCGGTAGGAGATGGGGATGGGGGGGGGGGGGGGAGGACTTTAAGGTCCTTTTAACCCAAATCAGCTTTTTTAGCTGCTTTTTTTGCTATGGAAAGGACGTTTTGGGGGGGTTTCCTGTTGGGTTCATGCTTTTGAGTTGCTTTTCCCTCTTGGCTTGACCCCTGCGAGGAGCTGGGCTCATCCCAAACCCGCTTCAGGCACCCAATGAGTGCAGCAGTGGGGCAAGGAGGGCTGTGCTGGGGGAGGCTCTTCCCGGTGCTCTCAGTGCTGCCAAAGCCATGGAGAAGGCGATTTGGGAGTGGGGATGGGGTGGGTTCTATCCCATCGGCTTCCAGGCTTGGGGGATCCGGATGGAAATGGGAGAACGGGTCTGATTTGTGCAGGGAATCTGGGGATGTAACGGGAATCCTGTGCTTTCCTTCCTGGTCCAGAGCCTGGCGCTGCAAAGGGACATCCTGGCATCTAAGGAACCCGGGATGACTGAGGAGGAGCTGCTTTGGGTGACCGCTTGGATTCCTGGCTGCCTCCTCCAAGGTGATGCTTCCCATCGGAGCAGTGCTCTTCCTCCATCCTCATCCCCGCCATTCCCCTTGTCCTGCATCCCTGCATCCCCTCCTCAAAGCATCCCTCGTTCCAGATGCATCCCCTTCACACTGAGCCCTTCTGAGGTGGGTCGGGACCGCCGCAGCCCCGAGGAGCCATGGAGGACAAACGCAACATCCCCATCATCGAATGGGAGCACTTGGACAAGCGCAAGTTCTACCTCTTTGGCATCTGCATGACCATGATGATCCGGGTGAGCGTTTACCCCTTCACCCTCATCCGCACCCGCTTGCAGGTCCAGAAGGGCAAGAGCTTGTACAAAGGCACCTTCGATGCCTTTGGGAAGATCCTAAGGACGGAAGGCACGGCCGGGCTTTACCGGGGTTTCTTGGTCAACACCTTCACCCTCATCTCAGGCCAATGCTATGTGACCACCTACGAGCTCACCCGCAAGTACGTGTCCCACTACACCAACAACAACGCCATCAAGTCCCTGGTGGCTGGGGGATCAGCATCCCTGGTGGCCCAGAGCATCACGGTACCCATCGACGTCGTCTCCCAGCACCTCATGATGCAGAGGAAAGGCGAGAGCATGGGCAGGTTCAAGGTGCGCCACCAGGATGGCAAAGGCCTCTTGGTTTTTGGCCAAACCAAGGACATCATTGGGCAGATCTTCAAGGCTGATGGCTTCAGAGGGTTCTATAGGGGCTACGTGGCCTCGCTGCTCACCTACATCCCCAATAGTGCCGTCTGGTGGCCCTTCTACCACTTCTATGCTGGTGAGTGAAAGGAGGCTGGGGACACAGCATGGTGTGCTTGATTGGGTTTGGAAGGAGGGGAAAGCCTTGGAGGGCTGTTGGCTTTAACCTTAACTTCCATTGCTCCCAAATGCTTGCTTTCTGCAATGGAAACCTGGTTCCATGCATGGCAATGGGCTTGGGAGCCACTGTGCCGGTGCAATTCCAGCTCATGCAGACAGAAAGACCTCTTAGAGCCACAAATCCCATAGCAAAAGCCCAGGGGTGAAGGGCAAATCCTGCATGGTTCTGTGTGCAGGCGGTGCTGTGCTTCCTGCAGCTGAGCCTTGGGGTGTGAAACCCCACTGAGGTAGGCTCGGTGCCTCTGGGCTTCCCAAAGGAGCTGGGGCTTTGGGACAGGTTGAATGGGTGGGAGATGGGAATCCCTGGGATGAGCTGGCCGTGTTCCTTAGGGATCCCTGCCATGGAGACAGCAGCGTGCTCCCTGGACCTGGGTGCACACGATGCTGAGTCTGGAAGCTTTAAAGGAGCAGGGGAAGGGGAGCGTTTTGATGCTCTGGTTTGGGGCCACGCAAGCTCCTTCTGCCCTGGTTGACGGCAGGGCTGGGGTTTGAGCCCGTTGCTCCCTGCCCTTGGGTGACCTGGTGGGGAAAGCATCCCTGGGGGTGAATGAGGGTTAGGGTTGGGTTATGGTTACGGTTAGGTTAGGTTTAGGGTTACGGTTAGGGTTGGGTTGGGGTTAGGTTGGTTTTAGGTTAGGGTTATGGTTAGGGTTAGGTTTAGGGTTATGGTTAGGGTTAGGTTAGGGCTAGGTAAGAGTTATGGTTATGGTTAGGTTATGTTTAGGTTTAGGGTTATAGTTAGGCTTAGGTTATGGTTAGGTTATGGTTGTGGTTAGGGCTAGGTTAGGGTTAGGTAAGGGTTAGGGTTAGGTTAGGGTTATGGTTAGGGTTAGGTTATCATTAGGTTTAGGGTTATAGTTAGGGTTATGTTATGGTTAGGTTTAGGTTAGGGTTAGGTAGGGGTTATGGTTAGGGTTAGATTAGGGTTATGTTTAGGGTTAGGTTAGGGTTATGGTTAGTTTTAGGTTAGTGTTATGGTTTGGCGTCTGGAAGAGGAGGAGAGGGCCTGAAGCATCCTCTTACCCTGACGCTTTCCTCCTTCCATTCCCAGAGCAACTCTCCAGCCTGACCCCTAAGGACTGTCCCCATCTCCTCCTCCAAGCCATCTCGGGGCCCCTTGCGGCTGCAACGGCTTCAACGCTCACCAACCCCATGGATGTCATCAGGGCTCGGGTTCAGGTGAGAGCTCAGCACCAGCCAGGATGCAGGCTTGGGGGGGGGGGGGTTGTCCTCAGTGCTTTCACCTCCATCCTTCCTGCTCTCTCTGCTGGCAAAGGCTCTTCTGCCCTTGGTACCCAAGGCTTCGTTATCCCTCAGCATCAGTGGGGCTGGATTTCCCTGCCTGTGCTGCCCCACATGAGCTCCCCATAGAGCATCACTGAAGGCTCTGAAACTGCCCCTTGCATTGTGCGAGCTGATGGGGGCAGAGGGGAGGAAGCAGGAACCAGGGCTAAGAAACCCACTTGCTGCTGCCTCTTTAGGGCTTCTTCCCTTTCCCCCCCCTACCTCCCTTTAGGGAGTTCTGGAGCCCACATCAAGGCTGCTTTGGGGTTGGGGCATCCAGAGCCCCTCCATTGGAGCAGAGCGGTGCTGAGGTTGAAGCTGGCTTTGCTGTGGCTTTGCAGGTGGAAGGCAAGAGCTCCATCATCCTGACCTTCAGGCAGCTCCTGGCAGAGGAAGGGCCCTGGGGGCTGACCAAGGGCCTCTCGGCCCGCATCATCTCAGCCACTCCTTCCACCATCGTCATCGTGGTGGGCTACGAGACCCTGAAGAAGCTGAGCCTGCGCCCGGAGCTGGTGGATTCAAGGCACTGGTGAAGAGGAACCTTCCTTTGCCATCCCTTTGGAGCATCCCGATGGAAGGAGGGGTTGGGGCCTCCTCCTTCACCTCCAAGCTGGTCACGCAGTACAAGTGGCAAGGACATCAGCCAGCGCCCTGCTGCGAAGCATCAGGATGCGACCTGCATCAAGCCGGGGTCTCCATGGAGTTAACCCCATCCTTGCCAAGCCCCCCCCCCCCCGAGGAGGGGAGGGCACCGCGCTCCAGCAGCGGCCTCTCGCGGCTCCGCTGCTCATTGCACTTGTGCCGGGGGATGGAAGCGACCCGGACCCGCTCCAGCCCTCGTTGGAGGTGCTTTGGGCATCGCCCTCGGACTACGGTTCCCTGCTCCTCATCCCTCCGGGCAGCCGAGGGCAGGAGTTGAGCGCTTTGGGTGCTCGATCTGTGCTTTTCATCCGGTCTTCGTTCATGGTTTTATCTTTGGGGGGGGGGTTGTGCTGTGGCCTTGTTCAACGTGTCCGGAGTGCAGTCCTGCTGCCACTTCCCACCTTTCCCTTGGTTGAGGCGTTTGGGAGCTGTTGGGAAGCAGCAGGAGATGGAGTTGAGCTCCAAGTAGGGACGGAAGAAACCTTAGGCTGGGTTTTGCTCCAGTCCCAACCCCATGGGCACGTTCATATTGAATCAGAAGTAATGGGTTACGAATCCTTTGGGACGTTGAAATCCTGCTCCTCCTGTTTGGGAAGGGCAGGGCTGCCTTTGCACTGCGGTGTTTAAGCCATCGAGGGATGAAGCAAGAGGGAAGAGCTCAAGGGGTTGCTTTGATTGCCATGGTGCTCATCCCAGGTAGGTTCACACCAGAGAGGGAAGGGATGCGCTTCCCATCCTTTTGCTGCTGGAACTCTGGGGTCTCACATTGATCCTGCTGCACGGGGGGGGGGTCCTGGCAGCCTCTTGGCTGCCTTTGCCACCCCGGTAGGGACTGGAGGTGTCACCAACGCTGCCATGGATGAGGGGCCCAGCGCCGCGGTACCCATGGATGAGGCAGGAAAAGCCTTTTAATGCCCCCTTTATGTCCCCCCGTGGTGATGCTCTCTGCCAGCTGCTCCTCTCTTGCTTTGCTCTCGGTTCTCTCTATAAGAGCAGATCCAAGAGGGATCTGCAGGGAGCATCCTGAGCGCGTGGGTGATGCTGGTCCCAGTCTGTGCAATGGGGAGGTGGCAGCAGGGATGCAGGCCCTCGTCACCAGCGACCTTCCTGACTGATAATAAACCTCAGAGACCTTCGTTGTGATGCCCGAGTGTCGAAGCCTGGTGCTTTTAATGCTGTGCCTTCGAGGGGAAGAGAGGAAGCAGGGACACGGAGCTGGGAAGACACCGGGATGAAGCACATGGATGGAGCTGCAGGGATCAAGCCAAGCCCAAACCCCTTTGGAGCCAGGCAAGGCCAGGATGGATGCGGTTCCGGACAACCCGCTCCGGTTGGAGATGCCCCCTGCTCATTGCAGGGCTTGGACTGGATGAGCTCTGGGGGTCGCTTGCATCCCAAACGGCTCCATGGTTCTGTGATCCCGCTTCCCAAACGGGATGGGTTCTGCTTGGCTCCTGGGAGCGGTGGCTGACAAGAGAGAGCGGCTTTTGCCTCTCTTGGCTCCTTCATCCCCCTTGGAACAGGTCGGGATTGAGCGCTCGGCTTCATCCACGAGGAACAACACTTGGGGGGGGGTTCCATGGGCTCAGGAGCGTTTATTCCCGCTGGGACAAGGCCGTTGGAGCGTTAAAACCAAGGGGGGGTTGAGCGCATCCGCGTTTTTGACCGTTTTAAGCCGTTTCCCAACGTCCCGGGGCTGAGCGGGGTCCTGCGCGCCAGGCCACGCCCCCTTTCCCGATAAAACCACGCCCCCTTTCCCGATAAGGCCACGCCTCCTGTGCGCGTAAGCCACGCCCGGAGCGCAGCCCGCGCTCAGAGTGGGCGGGCCTTCCCCCGGCTCAGCCACCAATGGTAGCGGCGCGGCTCTGAGGCGGCAGCCAATGGGGAGGCGGCGCGGGCTGCCGTTTGTGGAGGGCCAAGATGGCGGAGGCGAGGAGCGACGGTGATACCGGAGGCGATACCGGAGGAGATGGCGGCGTTAACGGGGGCGATGGCGGCGGTTCCCCGGGGCCAGGCCGCGCGGAGCTCTTCAACACCGTGGTGGACACGTTCCTGGAGAAGCTGGTGGCGGCCGGGAGGTGAGGGGGGGAATGGAGCCGGTGGCTGAGGCGGGGGACCGGGACTTTGCATGGAGGCAAACCCCGTCCCGGTTGCAGCTACCCGCGCTTCGCCAGCTGCTACCGCAGCTTCTATAAGCTCCAACCGGAGCTGACCAAGAGCATCTACAACCAGTTCGTGTCCCAGCTCCAGGCCTCCATCAGGGTGAGGGGGGGAACGGGCAACGGGCGGCGGGGGAGGCTCCGGGCCTGGCCATGGGCCTGGTGTTAACCCGCAGGCCCCGGGGGTGGGGGGGGATCGGGATCCCCGTTTGCAGGCGGAGATCCAGGAGGTGATGGAGGAAGGGAACCTGAAGGCGGTCCTCGACTCCCTGGATAAGATCGTGGAGGAGGGAAAGAGCCAGGAGGAGCCTGCATGGTACGGCCCGGCCCGAGGGGAATGGGGCCCTATGGGAGCCTGTGTTCCCCTATGGGAGCCTGTGTTCCCCTATGGGAGCCTGTGCTCGCCTTTGGGCCTTCCCATCGGTGGCAGGGACCCCATAGCCCAGCTCCTCGCCTCCCACTGCTCCTCCCATGGCTCTCAATGCCTGGAGCCAGCAGTGGGGAACGGAGCCGGAGCTGCCGTGGGGTGTGCGGCCCTGCTTCCAGTGCCAGGGCCTTGCTCTGCATCCCCCTTTATCCGCCCCACATCCCCCTTTATCCACCCCACATCCCCCTTTACCCACCCCACATCCCCCATACCCCATCCCCCTCCCCACACCCCCCACCCACCCGATTCGCTCACATCCCCCTTCCCACCCGCATCCCCCTTTATCCACCCCACATCTCCCTTATCTGCCCACATCCCCCTTTATCCGCCCACATCCCCCTTTCTCCACCCGCCCCACATCCCCCTTTACCCACCCCACATCCCCCTTTATCCACTCCTATCCCCCTTTACCCACCCCACAACCCCCTTTATCCATTTCTCATCCCCCTTTATCCACTACTGTCACCCTTTGCCCACTCTGCATCACCCTTTATGCACCCCACATCCCCCTTTATCCACTTCCATCCCCCTTTATCCACTCCCATCCCCCTTTATCCACTCCCATCCCCCTTTATCCACCCCACATCCCCCTTTATCCACCCCCCATCCCCCTTCATCCACCCCACACCCCTCTTTGCCTGCATCCCCCTTTATCCCCATCCCCTTTCCCCTGCCCCCCCTTTCCCCCCAGGCGCCCCAGTGGGATCCCGGAGGAGGACGCCCGCAGCGCCCTGGTCCCCCCTCTCCTGCAGCACCGCTCCTGCCTGCTCCGCGCCCTCCGCACCAAGCGGGAGGAGAACAGGAGAGCGGCCCAGGCCGTGCTGGACGCAAGGGGCCGCATCCAGGAGCTGCAGCAGCGCCTCCAGGCCCACAGCCGGGGCTGGAAGGTACCGGAGCCCCCGGGGCCGCCTGCGTGGAGCTCCCTGGGGGCCGGAGCTCAGGGGCCCTCACCCTTCCCCTCGCAGGCGCTCAATGGAGAGCAGCAGGAGCTGGTCCTGAGCCTGCAGCAGCCGCAGTGAGGCCGTGGGGATGCTCTGGAGCTTGGATTCCTCATCCTTAGGGAAGGAGCTCGGGATGGGAGCCAAGGAATAACCAAGGACCCGGCTGCACCTTTGGGAATGGGGGCAGCTTCCTGCTCATGGCCCTACAGCGAGAGCCTGGGTCTGGCTCCTTACACATGGACTGTGAGGGCCTTGAAGGGGAGCAAGGAGCTGGATGCACCCCGGGAATGGTGTTTGGAATAAAGATCCCATGGGATGCTCCGCATCACTGTGTTGTGGGGTCCGTGCCTGGCAAGCACAGAGCCCATCGGTCCCCCCCTTAGGACCCGGCTGCACCTTTGGGAATGGGGGGCAGTTTCCTGCGAGGGGGGAGCCTGGGTCTGGCTCCTTACACATGGACTGTGAGGGCCTTGAAGGGGAGCAAGGACCTGGATGCACCCCGGGAATGGTGTTTGGAATAAAGATCCCATGGGATGCTCTGCATCACCGTGTTGTGGGGTCCATGCCTGGCAAGCACAGAGCCCATCGGTACCCCCCTTAGGACCCCGTTCCCTCCTCTGGCACGGATGCTTCCCACTGCTTCCCCATCAACGGGAGCCACCATTCCCTTGGGATGCGCTCCCGCTGCCGCTTGGCTCCTGTGCTCTGTATTTAGGGTTTGGGTGGACACGGGCCCTGCTCCAGCCCTTCCCTCCTCCACTGCAGCTCCACTGGGATGGACTGGAGGTGCCCTGAGTGCCCCGGGCTCCCATGGAGAGCAGGATGGATGCAGAGAGCTCCGGCCCCGCTCCATCCCCTCCCTGCGGGCTCTGCCCGTTCCCAAAGGGACCCAGTTCATCCCAAACCACAAATTGGTGCTTGGGCTGGGCCCGGATGTGCTGGAAATACCCAGGGCCGGGCTCTGGGCCCTATAAAGGTGCTGCAGCGAGGGCAGATCCAGCACGGAGGCACCATGAGGCTCCTGCTCCTGCTGCCCCTCCTGCTCCTGCTGGCCCTTGGCCTCTGCCGCACAGGTAACGGGGGTGATGGAGCACCCCAGCTCCCTTCCATCGCATCAAACCCATTCCCCTTGGCCTGTGCCTGCATCCCTGCATCCCAAGCCCCTCTCCAGGCTTCCTGCAGCCCCTTTAGGCACTGGAGCTGCTCTGAGGGCTCCCCTTCAGGAGCTGACCCAGCCTGGCTCCTATGGGAGCTGCTCCAAGAGCTCCACATCCCTCGGGGGGGGGGGTCAGGGATGCGGTTCCAGAGGGGGAATGGGGCTGCTCTGACCCCTCTGCTCCATCCCCAGCTCCGGAGGGCTCCGTCAGTACCGACTCCAAGAGCTCCCAAGGTGAGTGAGTGACTGCATGTGCCCTATAGGGATGGGGATAGAGGGGGATAGGGATGGGGATGGAGATAGGGATGGGGACAGAGCTAGAGATTAGGGATGGGGATGGGGATAGGGACAGAGAGAGAGAGATGGGGATGGGGATAGAGATTGGGGATAGGGATAGAGATTGGGGATAGGATTAGAGATGGGGATGGGGATAGAGATAGAGATTAGGGATAGAGATGGGGATATAGATGGGGATGGGGATAGAGATTAGGGATGGGGATAGGGATAGAGATGGGGATGGGGATAGGGATGGCATGGGGATAGAGATGGAGATGGGGATAGGGATAGAGATTGGGGATAGGGATAGAGATGGGGATAGGGATAGAGATGGAGATGGGGATGGAGATGGGGATGGGGATAGAGATTGGGGATAGGGATTGGGGATAGGGATGGATTAGAGATGGGGATGGGGATAGAGATGGGGATGGGGATAGAGATTGGGGATAGGGATTGGGGATAGGGATGGGGATAGGGACAGAGATAGGGATTGGGGATAGGGATGAATGGGGATGAGGGGGGGTCCCCATCCTGCCCCCCCCCCGACCCTTCTCTGTCCCTGCAGCCTTTGTGTCCAAGCGCGCCAGCACCGAGATGCGGCGGCACAAGAGGCATTACGGCTATGACAGGTACCGGGGGGGGGTCCCCACTGCATCCACCCCTATGGCTGCAGGACCCCACCCCATAACCTCCCCTTTGTGCCCCAGCAGCCCCTATGGGGCCGTGCGGGACCCGCTGGAGGCCAAGCGGGAGGTTTGCGAGCTCAACCCCGCCTGCGATGAGCTCGGCGACCTCATCGGCTTCCAAGAGGCGTACCGGCGGTACTACGGGCTGGCCTGAGCCCCACAGCGCCCCACAGCGCCCCACAGGGCTCCCAGCACCAGCCTTACCCCTCACCCCCCTTCCCAACAGCTCCGGTTCCAGCCCGTGCCTGGGAACAGGATGGAAATAAACGCACAAAACGGTGTCGGGAGCGTCTGCTTCATCCGTCCCCAATGATCCATCCCCTGTGATCCATCCCCTGTGATCCATCCCCTGTGATCCATCCCCATGGGATCCATCCCCATCAGCTCCATCCCCATGGCTCCATCCCCAATGATCCATCCCCATGGGCTCCATCCCCATTGTTCTGTCCCCATGGCTCCATCCCCATCCCTGCTCTCTCCATCCCTCTGTTATCCATCCCTCCATCCATTATCCATCCCTCATTCATTCCTCCATTATCCATCCTTCTGTTGTCCATCCCTCCATCCATTATGAATCCCTGTTATCCATCCCTCCTTTACCCATCCCTCCATTATCCATCCCTCCGTCCCTCATCCATTATCCATCCCTCATCCATTATCCATCCCTCCCTCTGTTATCCATGCCTCCATCCGTTATCCATCCCTGTTATCTATCCCTCCACCCATTATCCATCCATCCCTCTGTTATCCATCCCTCCATCCATTATGAATCCTTGTTATCCCTCCCTCCATGTCTGTTATCCATCCCTCCATTATCCATCCCTCATCCATTATCCATCCATCCCTCCATCCGTTATCCATCCCTCATTCATTCCTCCATTACCCATCCCTCCATTCCTCATCCATTATCCCTCCTTCCCTCCGTTATCCATCCCTCCATCACCACCCCACCCCACACCCCATTCCTCATTCATTATCCCTCCTTCCCTCTGTTATCCATCCCTCCCTCCATCCCCACCCCTCCCACCCCACAGCAGCACAGGACAGGGGCTACCAAACATCCTGGCCTTTATTAAGCTACCCAAGGGTTGGGGGGGGGGCAGAGCCAAGCCCCTGCTCTGAGACCCCCCCACTGCTCCCCTTTGCACTGATCCTGCACTGAGCTCAGCACCCCTGGGCTCCAATGGGAGCCGCAGGAGGACCCAAGCCCAGTGCAAGGCTGGGAGAAGGGGGAGGCGCTGGGCCCAGCCCCGGAGCCCCCCAAGTGCAACCAGCACCAAAGGGAGCGAGGCCTCAGCACCCCCCGAGCCCCACCTCAGCTCCCTTCGTGCATCCCCATCCCTGCAATGGACCAGCCCCATCAACCAGGAGCCAGGGGCCGCATCCTGCTCCTTAGTGCTGGGGCCGCACCACGAGGCTCAGGAGGGGCAAACCCCGGTTCTAGGTGGGTTCCCCCCATTAAGGGATGGAGCCTGCAGGTTCCTGCTGTGCTACGAGGCTGCATGCGGCAAAGGGACTGGGAGGGAAGGAACCCGCTGGGGTTTGTGCTGGTTTGGGGGCTTTACCTGATGCCAGGAACACCCTGGTCCATGCTGGGAAGTCTCCAGTGTCACTCAGGGCCTTAGGGCCCCCCCCTTTATGTAGCAGCTTCTGGCCTGGGCCCATGGGAGGAGATGGAGGAGATGGAGTGGTTTGGTACTTGCATAGCTGCTGAGTCCATGGGGATGGAGGAGGCATCTTCTGGGGCATCCTTCTGGGGCATCATCTCCTTCTGGAGCATCCTGTTCTGGAGCATCTCCTGGAGCATCCCCTTCTGGAGCATCCTTCTGGAGCATCCTTCTGGAGCATCCTCTTCTGGACCATCCCCTTCCGGAGCATCCTTCTGGAGCATCATCTCCTTCTGGAGCATCTCCTTCTGGAGCATCCTTCTGGAGCATCCTCTTCTGGAGCCTCATCTCCTTCCGGGGCATCTCCTGGAGCATCATCTCCTTCTGGAGCATCTCCTGGAGCATCATCTCCTTCTGGTGCATCCTCTTCTGGAGCATCCTCTTCCGGAGCATCCTTCTGAAGCATCATCTCCTGGAGCATCTCCTCCTGGACCATCCTTCTGGAGCATCATCTCCTTCTGGAGCATCCTTCCAGAGCATCTCCTGGAGCATCATCTCCTTCCGGAGCATCCTTCCAGAGCATCATCTCCTGGAGCCTCATCCCCTGGAGCATCACCCCCTGGAGCACACTGATCCAGACGAGCTGCAGGGAGGCCAATGGGACCAACCCATTCCTTCCTCCCCAAGCACGGTGATGGGGCAGGATGGGAGAGCCAGGCTGCCCCCGCTGCCACCCGGATGGAGGCCTCCAAGGCCCCTTCCCGCAGGGAATGAGCTCCTCCAGCATCCACCCCACAGCAGCACCAAGCCCTTCCCTTGGGGATGCTGCAAGCACCAAAGGGGCTGGGTCTGCCTCTGCCTGCCCCACAGGGATGCAAGGAGAGGGGTGTAGGGGGGGGGCACCCGAGTTCTGCCCCCTCTTCATAGCAGCAGGGAGCGGCTCCGGGCTCCTTCCTCCTCCAGACACCCCATGGAAAAGGGGCACCAAGAGGCAGCATCGGGCTCTGGAATCCCACAGGGATCTTCCCCATCCCGGCGGCTCCGCTGCAATTCCCCAGTGCTGGAAGCAAAGAGATGGGAATGGGGAAGCAGGAGCGGGGTCTTCTTCCCCTCTCACCAGGATGCGCTCCCGTCCCTTATAGGAAGCATCCCCTTGCACTGAGCCCGCATGGAACGGGGGGGGCACTGGGAAAGGGTAATAAATACACTGCGGCCAAGGCAACGCTATTCTATGGCCAGCTTGTAAAGAGCATCATCCTCTCCCTTGCTCGCTCTGTGGGAAGAGGAGCCAGATCCCAAGGGAATCCCGAGGGGGCGCTGCTTTAAGCTCGTTTCTACATCAGGAGAAAAAGAAACCCTAAGGATTAAAAGGGGAAAAGCCCTTGAAAATGAATGGATCCACAGGAGGGGGAAGGAAGGGGAAAGGGGAAGGGAAAGGACAAGGAAAAGGAAAGAAAAAGGAAAGGACAAGGAAAAGAAAAGGGAAAAGGAAAGGGAAAAGGGAAAGGAAAGGGAAAAGGAAAGGGAAAAGGGAAAGGAAAGGAAAAAGAAAGGAAAAGAACAAGGAAAAAGAAAGGAAAAGGACAAGGAAAAGGAAAGGAAAAGGAAAGGAAAAGGAAAGGAAAAGGAAAGGAAAAGGACAAGGAAAAGGACAAGGAAAAGAAAAGGGAAAAGGAAAGGAAAAAGAAAGGAAAAGGACAAGGAAAAGGAAAGAAAAAGGAGAGGACAAGGAAAAGGACAAGGAAAAGGAAAGGAAAAGGACAAGGAAAAGGAAAGGGAAAAGGGAAAGGAAAAGGAAAGGAAGGTAAAGAAGGGAAAGGACTTTCTGCTTCCCTGGCCCCAAGGGCTCCATCACTCTCAGCATCCCCTTTCCCAAGCTGCTCCAGGGGCTTGGAGCTCGAGTCCAGGCTTGAGGAGCTTAGGATGGGAGAGATCCCAGAGGGAGACCTCAGCTCCAGAGGGGCTCGAGCAGGATCGGTGCCTGTGGAGGGCTCTTGGGAGCCCCTTTGCACCCAGTGTTGGGTGCTCTGTGAGAGATGAGCACCCCAGGACCCTCGCTAGGGAACGGCCTCAGCACCACTTGAAGCAAAGCTGCAGGATGGCTCCCAAAACATGGGGGGGGGTTGTGTGTGTGTTGGGGGGGGTTTCAAGGCCTGCCCAGTTCAGCCCCATCCCTGCCCATTGGGCAGCAGGGCAGAGCTCTCCTTGGCTCTCATTCAGAGCCGCCTGCCTGGAGGCTGGCTCAGGGCTGGAGCCCCCCCTTGGCTTTGGGGGCTTCCTTTGGGTCTGGTTGATGGTGCTGATGCTGCCGCCGCCGCCGCTGCTGCTGCTGCTGCTTCGGGTCCAAGCCTGGAGGTTGGGAGCCTTGGTTCAGACGCTTCCAAGGGGTGGGGGGCACAGACAGGTTCACACCAGCCCGGGCCCCGCTCGGCCTCAGCCCAGCTCCTTCCATTGCTTGTAGAAGTCCAGCACGTTCCTGAGCTCCACGCTGGCGCTGGCGGCCGCCTGGATGGCAGCCTGCAAGCAGGGGCACAGAGACAGCCCGTTACCATGGCAACGGATGCACAGAGACCCCCCGTTACCATGGCAACGGGTGCACAGAGAGGCCCCGCTACCATGGCAACAGATATGCACACATAAACCCCGTTACCATGGCAATGAGTGCACACAGAGACCCCGTTACCATGGCAACGGATGCACAGAGACCCCGTTACCATGGCAACAGACGCACACCGACCCGGCTACCATGGCAACGGATGCACACATAAACCCCGTTACCATGGCAATGAGTGCACACAGATGTCATTACCATGGCAACGGATGCACACACAGACCCCATTACCACAGCAAGGGATGCACACACAGACCCCATTACCATGGCAACGGATGCACACACAGACCCCATTACCACAGCAAGGGATGCACACACAGACGCCGTTACCATGGCAGCGGATCCACACACACACACAGTTACCATGGCAATGGATGCACACAGATGCCGTGACCATGGCAATGGATGCACCACAGGCGCCGTTACCATGGCAGTGGGTGTGCACACAGACCCTGTTACTATGGTAACAGATGCACATACACACCCCATTACCACGGCAAGGGATGCACACACAGATGCCGTTACCATGGCAGTGGGTGCACACACAGACCCCGTTACCACGGCAAGGGATGCACACACAGACACCATTACCATGGTAACAGATGCACACACAGACCCCGTTACCACGGCAAGGGATGCACACACATGGAGATGGTTTGGGTGCCCCATCCTATCCCCAAGCTGCTTGAGTGGAAAGGGTTGGGAGTTGGAGGAGCTTTAAACTCCTCCCATCCCATCCCATCCCATCCCATCCCATCCCCAAGCTGCTCAAATAGAAGGGGCTGGAGGTGGAGGAGCTTTAAGCTCCCCCATCCCATCCCATCCCATCCCATCCCATCCCAGTCCATGACTCCAGGACTCTTCCCTTGCCCTGTCCATTCAGCCCTTCCCAACGTGTTGATCCCAGCCCAAAGGCTTGATCCATGACAAATCCAAGGTGGAAGAACAGAACCTGGAGC